TAGAAATTCCTGAGCCTTCTCTATCAAAAATTTAGGAGAGAAACCCTTGACTCCATTCCTTGTTTCCCAATTAGATACAATATCTGGTTGTTTCAGATGTAAGGCTACTGCAACGTCTTCAGGTTTCAGGATTTTCTCTAGACCGGTGAAGGGTATCTGATCAAGAATAGGAACTTCGAGCAACTTAGAGAATTCTTCCATTGTGGGTACCAACTAATAATCCAGGAAGGTAAAACAGTGATGCTTCGGATCAAAGAACTGGAAAAGAACACTCATTATGTCTTTTGAAAGCCATTGGTAACCAAACTGGGTAGGTGACCATGTCTCTTGGTGAATTGAGAATTGTCGGGAACCTTTGGGACTAATTCCTCAAGCTTGGAAGGTATTCCTACGAAGTTGATCCAGATGGTATTCCTACAACTGGAAGCTATGACCCTGCAACATAGAAAAAAGATAAATCCCTTAGATCCTTAAAATGGTTAGTCATGATGTTATGATGTTATGATATCATGTTCAAATATATAATCAAACACAAGAAAAGCACACAAAGGAATTATGTTTAAGGCTTGCATGGGGTTTGTAGATAAGTACCCTCTTTAAGTTTAGTTGGCTCAACCTGTTCAAAGAAGTAATCGGGTTCTAGGGATCTCAATATCACTGACTTTTCCCACAAATTTTTTCTAGCACGACAACTGACTTGCCACAAAAAAAAATCGAGAGTCGAATCTCAATGAGTGTAGTATCGAGTATCAACCAACTTCGGACTGCACCAAAGCCGACTATCTCACTACTTTCTAATGGCTAAGTTGGGTCAATTAAGGTTCTAAGGTCAGTTAAGGCTTATGAAACCACGCGATAACCTAGTATGCTCCCCGATTGACTTGAGGGATACCAGTACAAACCAATGTGTCGCGCTAATGTAGCCATTACTTCAACCATATCTATATATGTTGTATAGTCTCCATGATCTATCGCTACTTACCTAAAATGATCCCCAGATCTAGGTATAGGATCTTTTCAAGAAATAACCCAAACAACCCTTTAAAATAAAGCTGACAAATCAAAAAAGGAAAGCATTTAAAAGTGGTTAACTCTAAGGTAACCTCACTTTTAGTTTTCCCCAACAGAGTCACCAGTTCTGTAATACGGTGGGAGAACTGACTTGGTTTTGTATTTTATCGTTAATGTGCAGATAACAAGAGTCACCACCGACTTTTCTTTTATCCAATAAGGAAATGGTGAATAGAATAAGAAAGACCTTTGAGAATTTTTAGTTTGGGGGGTAAGTTATGAAAAGGGAAGGTGTTAGCATCCTTCTCATCCGTAGTTATCTACGGGCTCTTAATCGCTAGCTCACTTTGTTTGAAAATTCTTTGTGTGTATGTGTTTTTAAAATATTTTGACAAAAAATGCCTAAGTACGACAAATTTGTAATGATTCTTGTATTGGTTAAGAATGCGTACAAAGTGTTTTCTTTTGAAAATATTTCAGAAGAAGTGTTTGTGATGAGATGTTTTGAAAAGTGTGAGCAAGCGATTACGAGCGATCTACCTACTCAAAAGTCTTTCGTGATATTTTCCTCCTCCTTTGGATAGTGATATCCTACCATTAGTTAGTAGGAAGCCCTATTTTTGGATGTGAAGAGACAGGCGCAGGTCATTGTACAATCATTAAGGCAACTCGTAGAGGCCCTTTAACAATTTATCGTAAGGGACTAAGATCGTTTATCGAAGGCAGCATTGAAGGGTCATCGAGGGACTACGATATTTTTAACCGAGGGTCTTTGCTAAAGGATCCCCATATTCGAGGGACATGATTTCTTTTATTTGAAGGCAACAAGTGAGGTTACCCTAGAGGTGAGTGTGTGAAAAGTGATTCAGTTCAGTTATTTTATCTTGATTAGGGTTATCTAGCATTTTGTTTTAGATATTGCCATACACGCCTAGTTACTATACAGTTATAAGGAAAGCGGTAAATTGAGTAAAATAAATATAAACTATTACAGGGCTTCGAGAGTGGGCGTACAAAACCATAAAACTGGGGGAAAATAGTAAACCCTAATTAAGACTATTACAAACTGTAGCAGTTACATAATTGGGAAAATAAACTAATACGGAAGTAAATATGCAAAGCGGTAAAATAAAGGGTAAAACAAAATTGAAAATCGTTTTGTGATCGTTTGATGATTAATCTAAAAAAAACCCTATTGATTTTAATTTAGAAAAAAGGAATTAATTAATTAAAAAACCTAAGTTGATTTTAACTAATTAAATCCTAAAAACTATGTTAAGTTAATTCAATTAATTTAATTAAAAAAATGAATTAATTTAATTAAAAACCTAAGTATAAATTAATGTTAATTTAAAAAAGTTAACTAAATTGTGTTAAAAAAGAGTTATAGCAAAATAAAAAGATTTGGGCCTATCATAAAGCAAACCAGGGGTCAAGGAGAGAAAATCATTAGGCCTAAAACTACAAGCCTAAGCGCCTGTATTGAATCCAGTGTGAATAGTTCATGGAGGTTCATCATGGTCTAGAAAATATGAGCGTCAGATCTGGGCTTATGGAGATCTGGTGGTGATGAGATAAGGTGCATAGTGGACGCACGAGGATTGGCTACGCTAGATCTGCAATAGAATAAAGATGTGAAAATAAAATACCAGGGGCAGGGATTGAACCTGTGCCCTGGTACAATAATGCTCTAACATACGCGCTTCTACTGCTGGGGCCACTTTACATCCATTAATATAACTGAATCCATAAATATATAAAATATGCATGAATGCATTGACCGGAGAGGCGGCAGAGCCCTAGCTCCGGTCGTCTTTTCTGGTTGCCCTCTTTCATTCAACCTGTAAAATAAGCATTATTAGGAAGCAAAAAATACCTTACCCCCAAAATCGAGGGCTATGAGTTCAATGGTGAAACCATTTTGGACTGAAAAGGTCAGGTTTTTGAGTTACGATGTAAGCAAAGCAAATTGGAGAAAACATGGCATTTTGTGATTTAACATGCATGGGACCTCCACAATTGTTCTACTCCGCATTGTTGGATCTTATGAACACATAATAACCATTAGTAAGCATTAGAACATACAGAAAATCAAGATATTAACATTATGAATATTATGCAACCGACAATGCTATGCAATGTGATTTCACATGTTTTGGATCATCAAAACTGATCCAACTTTACCTTGTATGCTTGTTGAGAGTGAATAGAGTGGTTGTTTGTAGTAAGAGGGTTTTTTTTTGTACCCCAAAATTTTCCCTCCCTTCTTTCTCAAGACATTCTTCCAAAGCTTCTCAAAACACTCAAGATACACAAGGGTTGACCAGTCAATGCTCCTCCTAATCTAAAAGGTCTACAACTAGGGTTTTGAGTTTCTCAAGGAAATTTGGGTTGCAAAGGTCTCAAGTGGCTTTCATGTTTCTTCATAGGTCTCCAACAATGTACATGTCAAGTTTCATGTCCTACCTCACAAGTTTGCTCAGTCAATGGCTCAGATGATTGAAAATCAACTGTATTGGTCAAAAAGTCAATTGTGATCAACATACAGTCAAACTTCAACATTTTTGGTCAACATCGACATTTTGAAGTGATATTCATCTTTTTATCAAGGGTTGATCATGATTCCCCAAGGAAATCTCTCAAATCATCAAAAGTCAAGATTTGTCAAATTAGGGTTTCCTTAGGAGAACTCAACTGAACTTTGACCAGGCATAACTGTTGCACCCCAAAATTTTCCCTCCTAATTTCTTTTATTTGGCTTAGACCTTTGAATATATTTCATTAGGTCACTAACATAGCATGCATTGCATTCAATAAAGCGCTTGAGGTTCAAAGTTCAGTGGTTGCGCGATATTAGGGTTTCGCGGTGGTTAAGGCGTTCGTGTCTAATAAAGGCTGATTTCTTATTTAGGCAGCGAGCAGTGGAATTACGGTTGTGACTTGGGTCGTTGAGAATTTCCTTATTCATCAAGCCGTGAGGCTATCGGGGTTTATTTCCCTATATGTGATCAAAGTCAGGTTTTCGGAAATTGTGTTCCAATCGGGTTTTTTTGTTTATCAAAGATCATGAGATTGGTTTGTTTTTTTATCAAGGGACTTTCTCAGAAGGCCTTATATGGTGCGTCAGGAATTATCATCTTCAAGGGAATTTCTTAAGGATTTTTGCCTTACGTTTTCAAGTAGACATGTTTGTGACTTGAATTACAAAAGTTGAAGCACAATATAAGATATGATGCGGGAGAGTGCTAATTGAGTTAGACGAATGTGAATAAAGGCTTTGAATTTGGGAAAATTCAATATGGAGATGGAGAGGTTGTTTTTTGACTGAGTTCATGCATGAATATTATTGATTCGATTGAATGTTATGTCATATCTTGAGTTCAGAACTGGTTTATTGAATATGCAAGTTGGTTGGAATCCGTTCACTGAGTCATGAAGTGAAGTGCTTAGAGGATAATCAAATGGTATTAAAGAAATATAAGCATTTATTTTTTTTCAAGAATTTGATTCAAGCGAGTTTGGAGACCTTAATCATAAGGGTTTCTTGGAATGCAAAAGATAAGATACAAATGGCAAGACATAGTCATTCATTATAATTCCATTAAAGTGATTATTTTGGTTCAAGTTGTCACTTTCAGTATCATCCAAATACCATTCAAAATCAATCCAAATACATTCCAAACCTTCATTTACATCATTCAAATTCAACATCTCAATATTCATCGTTCAATGTCCACTTGAAAATTTATGCTCATCCAACCATTATTTCTAGGCATCTTGCAAGTGTTTCCAAGCGATTCATTTTGAATTTACAAATCCATATTACATTCAAAAGGAACTACAAAAAAATTGTAAGTTACACAAAGCTACACTAAATCTATCCTGCCTAAACATTAGCTCCCTTATTTTCCATGTTATGACTTCATGATGCCATTTTTGTAACCTCCGAACTCTTTGTCAAACTTTGATGCAACCATGTACAAAATTGCTTATGCGATAGGTTTCATGTCCCGACTCCAAGTTTTCCAACCCTGCACTTTACAAAACATAAACAGCCCATAAAGTTCAAACAGAAAAATAGTTTGGTAGCTTGTAAACAAAACCAGTTCAGAAAAGAAGAAAACTCGAAGAGCAGGATTTTTCCCAATTAAAGAAAGACAAAGTTCACAATGATATTGAAAATGCTGCATTGAAACAAGATTTGGACATGGAAAAAAGATCACATGAAGAACACATTCTTCTTCTGAATCTAAGGCCATCCCTTCTAACAGCCCTGCACTAATAAATCCAGTCAACCAACTCAGAAAAACAAGAAGTAAATATCAGCTCCAGAATCCGCGTATGAGTATTGGCAGCCCTGTGTATTATCCAAAAAACCAAGGCTTCGTCAGAAATCCGGAGTAAAAACTACACTATAAATTGCCCTGCATTGGACGGTCTGCTTACAGTTTAAAACAGTTGAGGGTTTGATTAAAACAAAGATTAGACGATGAGTGCAGAAGGAGTGCAAGTTTTCAAAAAGGGAAAAAGGCTAATTGAAATCAAAACTCAGATTCGCAACAGAATGTTATCCCTAACAGCTTACTGTTAACAAAAACCAGTATAAAAAAACTTTCAAAAAAAAAACATAATAGAACTTTCACAAATTTCCTAACCAATTCCCAACTACCTAACCAACCTATAACCGTTTCTAACCATAACCTCTCTCACCCTTCTATTTTTTTCCCAAGAATCTCTAACAGTATAACTAATTCCATAACAGCTCATATCCTAACTGTCCACAGGATCAAAAGCATAAACCCAAATTTTCTTCAACCATTTTCTAACTATTAAAACAGACTTCAACAGAATTCGTAACAAACTTAACAAAAAACCAATAACCTTCCAACTACCATAACTAATTCCCTAATAAAAATTTTCTAACCATAAAACAAACTTATCAACAGAAAATCTATATAACCGAACAAAGGAAAAGGGGATGGTTCAGCATTCATTCACAAAAGGCGGAAGAAAATCAGAAACTAATGCTTGATGTATAAAATTATTCAACACAGAGAAAAATTCACAAAAACTCACCAGAAGATTCTTCAATCTTTAACCTACTGAACCTTCAAGCTTCTTCATCAATTCTCCTTTCTCTGATTGCAATATCCTTCATCGAATTCTCTGCAATTCTTGCTTCATCTTCATCTCTGTTTCAAGCGCCAAAACCTCCATTCATCATCACCTTCAATACTGCATTGCATTTTCATCGCACAAATCTATTTCGACATTACTTTTGCAACTTCGTCAGCATCCTCCACATACTTCATCAACGTGAATTTCAACCTGTGTCATCATTAATCATCACACCATTTCAACCTTCTTCATTTCCCCTTCAAACGCAATCACAATATCATTAAGAATGCATAATTACATCAATATAGCAGCAAAGCAAAAATGCAGAAGAAAATTAGGGAGGATCGAAAGAAAGATGGAGAGAATACCTTAGCCATTATGGTCGGAGATTTCATCGTTGCATCAAGGTTAAATACCTTTGTTCAGATCTTTCTAGTGATTATTTTGTGATTAAGCATACATTCATGGTGATTGAAGTGATTTTCGGGTAATATGAACCTCGAATCACGATGTTCCCAATGTGAATCTGTGAATTCTATAAATTTAGGGTTCCGAAGGTACCTTATCTATTCGGCCTAGTCTTGGATTTTTGTGAGGAATTGGTATGATGATTTAGGTCGGGATGCGATATGATTAAGAATACAGGTGGTTTGAGGAGTTATGTTAGTGATGGCGGCGGGAAATCTCACCACCATGGTCTCAATAGAGAAAATAAAAAGGGAAGTGTGAGAATGTTGAAGGGAAAATGGAAAGCCATAACACCTTTGAAGCCAAAACGCAGCGTATCACCTCACTCTTTTGATTCAATTGCCGTTCGTTTATTTGGTTATTTTCAATGCAATAATGGTTGGCTGGATAAAGAAAAAAGAGAGAAGTAATGATTTGAAGTGAACCGGATCTTCCTCCAAGCCTGTTTACCATCATTTTTGTAAGCCCGATTTTAGTTTTTTGGGACATCCTGGAATAACTACAAAAAACTTTCGTCTAGACTCATGAATGGGCTCGGTGCGTTTTTTGGAATGTTGGGCCAAGCATGGTTGCTGAGTCCTTATCCCATAGTCTGCCTTCACACCCCCTAGACTTATTCTTTCAGTATTTTCTTTTAAATAATTTTATGGATTGATTAGATTTACTTGAACCTTTTCTTTACATGATAAAAAAATAAAAAAATCAATAAAAATTTGTTAGTTTTTTTTATTATTATTTTGACTTTAGGAAATTAAATTCTGATTATTCGATTATTTGAGTTCGTAATTCACCTTTTCTTGTTGAGAAATGGATCTTATGCAGGTTTGTTGTATGATATACGGATATGCTTCAGATGTCGATTGTGATTTATTTTCACATCAATGACGCTTCGACACTTATGTCGCGTATTTGATTTCTGACTCTTTTTTGTTGGTGCTAGCAACTAGCGAGGTCGTCGAATTCCTTTGTTTTTTACTTTACTCTACTGGCTAATACTTGTTTGGTATATTTTCTTTATACTTTCTCTCCGCATTTATTGCTTCGTAGAGATCATGTGAAGTGTGATAACATTTGGTTTAGAAATAGGCTAGTCTCCCCTTGATTTTTCTTTCTCTCGCATATGCATTTAAAGCAAAAATTTATTTTTTCTTACAAAACCTCAAAAATAAGAATTTTACTGACGAGAATCATATCTTTGTTAAGTATTAGAGATGAGAAGCGGGTTTATTCTCGACCTTATTGTTCTCTTATTCTATGCTTTGGTGTGGTTCAAGTCTCAAAGACTTATTTCATGAATAAGTAGAGAAATGGCTAAAATCTCTCCCTTGAGGTCAACTAGCTGTTATCCACAAGTAAAAATACCAACAAACACAAAAAACTCTTTTTGCCTTCGGGCCTTTCTTTCAAAACCTTTTTAAAAGAACAAGTTAATTCACTTCTGTACTGACGCGTAAGTCTCCAAAGGTCGAGTTGCGGCAGAAGGTGAAATTAATATTGTTCATTAAAAAAAACACAAACCAATTCAAACCTTTTTATGCGCCCAAGCACCTTTTCTCCAAAACCTTTTCAAAGAGCATGTTAATTCACTTATGTGTTGACGCGTAAGTCTCTAAAGGTCGAGTTGCGGAAGAAGGCGAAATTAATATTGTTCATTAAAAAATACAAGCCAACAAAAACATGTGAGCCGAACTACAGCTGCTCTGATTCCTTGAAAGGGATACGTAAGCATCGGGGTAGGGCCCGAGCGAGCACAACTTTTATTTTCCCTACATTCTTTTCTCTTCTCTTTCACATGCATTCTCCTTTAGCCGTAATAATCAATAAGCATAGATTGAACATACCCATAAGATAGATAAAAAGAGTGGATACCGTAGAGTACTACGGGCGTGTGGGGTGCTAATACCTTCCCCTCGCGTAACAGACTCCCTTACCTATATCTCTTGTTCGTTCGACCTTGATTTCACCCTTCTCGAGTTTACTCGATATTTACCTTTCCCTTCCCGTGGGATAAAAAACATTCGATGGCGACTTCATAGTTTGATGATTTTCAGCCGGTTGTTTCAATAACTATCACATACTTCATCAACTTTTCACCAACCAAAGCTCATTTTAAAGAAAATCCAATTCCCTAAAACTTTATTTTTATGCTCAAGTCCAAAAAATGCTTCATTTGAAAGATATGACCTAAAACATTATAGGTCATTTTCAAAAGTCAACAACAGAAACTTTTTGTCAATGCAGCTTACATCAAGATAATCTCTTCAAAAGCAAAAATGTTAAACATAGAGATTGTAGAGGACATATTTAGCTTTCTAAAAAGTCCAAGATAATCTCTTCAAAAGCAAAAATGTTAAACATAGAGATTGTAGAGGACATATTTAGCTTTCTAAAAAGTCCAAGATAATCTTCTAAAGATGAAAATTGAGCAAGTTATGAGTTGCACAAGTTGGGAGATTTTGAAGAAATTCATAAAGTTCAAGTTGGGAAATTTTGAATCTTTGAACCAATGGGCCTAATTTTTTAGACTCAAACGTGTTCATGATATGTTAGAGAAACCCTAAAACCATTCCCTTATTTTTCATGATTTTTATTTATTTTATTTGAATTTTTATTCATTTAAAACAAATTAAATCAAAACAAAAAGTGAGGCTAATGGGCTTAGGCGCATGATTGGATTTATGGGTCAAGATTGAAACCCATATATTCGTGTAACCCAACAACAATGTGTCTGGGTTCATGCTGATTCAAAAGGGCAAGAACATCATAAATTTGGAAAATTTTCAAATCTTGATTCTTGTTTTAAAACCATGGTTAATGGATTGATTCATTCTCATATTGGTCAAGCCTCACACTCCCTCTTTATAATGCCAGTAGAACGAACAAGAAAGGACAGGAGATAGAGGCTGCAATAATTCACTACAAAATTCTCAAAATTTCTCAAAGTTGCAATATTCGTAACTACATTTCCAAGCACTATCAATCCAAACAAACGACCAAATCACATTCCTGAGGCTTCCAGGAATTGAACCAAGCTCATAACCAAGCCCTTTCATGTCCAGAACTCCCACATCCAATCACACTGGTTTGGTATAATTTCTTAAATCCAATCTGTTTAAATATGCATTGTTAACCAATCTAACACATTCATACATGTTTATAGAAATGTTTAGAATATGTTTGACATAATGCATATGAGCTTTAATGCTTAAATCGCAAGATGCCATTGTTAGGGCTCCAGAGCTGTTGAGCTTCGAGCTGAACGATACAGTGAGTTTCAGGCTAAACCAATTGCAACACTAAACTCGCAGGGTTTGGTTTAGTAGGATAGGATGTTTCTGGATCTTTGAAACAAACATTTTTGCAGGTTTGCAATTTTTGCATGGCCGGAGGGGATGACCGTAGGTTGACTCCGGCATCCCTGAGATGATTTGACTTCGGCTAGGGCTTGCATGGAAGAATACAACATCTCAATTGGTTCATTCAAATTCCCTGGGACGCGTGTGTTTGACAAATTGAAATTAACTGGCATTTAGTGTTATATTTTTATGGTTTGCTTGTACTAACAGATGAATCACGCCACCTCAGTGGCAACACACACGCACTTAAGGCCTTCATGCTCCTTATCCTATGTTCGATCCAGGACCAAGGCATTTTTATTTTTTCTTGTGTTATTCTACAGATCAGGTATAAACGAGGTTATAGCACACACGATAGACGTGAGAATTGGGCCTTCAGATCTCAAGAATTTTAGATCCAATGATCCTGATAAAGTCCCCACGGTGAACCCTAGCATATCAACCACGCTGGATCCAACGCAAACTCTTGGACCCATCTGTTTTGGGCTTGGCTAATATTTTATTTTCACACCCTCGAATCTTGTTTTACAGTCCAACCAATTTTGAATTTTTTTATTAAAATCATAAACGCAAACAAAAATTATATTTAAGATTTAATTTAATTAACTTTGTTTACATTAAAAATTAATTAATTAAAATCATTTTTGAGATTATTTCGTTAATTAAAATTGGTTAGAATTAGGTTCAAAATCTTTTTTCTAATTAAAATTAAAAACAACAAAAATATCTTTTTTACACTTAGAATTTTTAGGGTTTTAGATATTACCTCTTTTCCATTCTCCGCGCGTTATTTACATTTTCGCATTATTATTTTTCATAATTTATGTAATTGTCCATAGTTTATAATAGTTAAATAGGACTTTTACATTTCCCCCCCATTTTGGTTTGAACTCCCCCCATCCCAAAGCGATGTAATAGCGTAGTTTAATTCTCGCACCTTTATTTTTATGTATATATTTAACTGTTAGATGTATTATAATAGGTTTGCATAACAAGATTTAAAAGAAAACGTTAGAAAACCTAAATATCCAAGATAAATAACTGAAACACGACACACTTCTCACAGGCGCACCTCTAAGTTACCTCCACTTGTTGCCTTAGGAAAAACAAACAGTCACGTCTCTCGAACGTGAGAAATTTTAGAAAAGACCCTTTGGTTACAAGATCATAGTCCCTCGATGACCCTTCGATGTTGCCTTAGTAAATGATCTTGATACTTTAGGGTAATTGCTAAAATATCTTACGAGTTGCCTTCGTAACTGTACGGTGACCCTCGCCTATCCCTCAAAACATCCAATGATAGGGCTACCTACTAACTAATGGTAGGATAGCACTATCTAAAGGAAAATAGGAAAAGAACAAAGACCATTTGAGTAGGTAGACAACTTGTAGTTACTTGCTCATAAAACAAAACAATTTCTCACACATACACTCTCCTTTCTAAATATTTTCAAAGACAAAACACTTTGTATGCATTCTCAAATGATACGAGATTCATTACAAAGTTTGCCACACTAAGGCATATTTTAAAAATATTTTCAAACACACAAACTAAAAGCATTTTCAAAAGTGAGCAAGAAACTAAGAGCCCGTAGATAACTACAGATGGAAAGGGTGCTAATACCTTCCCTTTCCATAATCTACCCCCCGAACTCAAAATCTTTAAAAAAGGTATTTCCTATTATTTTCACCCTTTCCTTTATTGGATTAAATAAAATTCGGTGGCGACTCTTGCTAACCGCAACATTTGCGATAAAACGCAAAACCAGTAAAGTCAGTTCTCCAACTATATGACAGTTTGTAATAAGGATTTTGAAATTCTAGGGTTCTTGAAAAATTTGATCTTTTTTTTACAATTTTGAGGAACGGGTTTTCGTGTCCTCTTGTATGAGAATTTATGAGATTATATAGTGGTAAATTAGGGCAAAAATAGTGGGCTTGGACCTTGTAGAAGAAGATATAATTTTATCTTATTTATTTTTCATGATTTAATGGATAAATAAACAATTAATTAAAATAATTAAAATAAAAATAGTTCATGAGGTGGAAGAACA